GCTATTATGGAGCTCCCATCCGGGGAAGACCATTTCTCCCGCTCTCTCCACCCCTCGGTACCTGGAGTGCTTCCTTCAGGGCTGAGATCGCCCACTCTGGTATTAGCCTGTCTACTGTTGTTGTCCTTGTTCAGGACTTGTTTAATCAGCCCTGCTTCTGAGGCATCATGGAGTTTTTGTGTCATTTCAAGGACACACAATCTCACAGCAGATTCCCTGGTCCTCTGGCTCTTGTACTCTTTCCATCCCCCTTTCTTCAATGACTTCAATGACCTGACCTCAGCAGGAGTTGTGCTAAAGATGCCCTGTTGGTTCTGGGCATCCTGTGATCCGTTATCTGTGTTTTAAACAGTTACGGTTTTCTTTAATGGCCTCCTTCACAAAGGAGTTCTTTGGCGAGGGTTGTGCACTACAATTGTCTGTGACTGGAGGGAAACAGATTTAGAATGCCCTTGGGGGTTACACTGGCCTAGTAATGTGGTGGGTGTAGGCTCTCTAACATCCATGACCTCACCAGCCCCAGGCAGGTGACTGGGTGAGAGCTCATGTGGGTTCACACTCACTGTCCAAGGCTTCATCAAATCTCCATAGAAGCGTCCATGCAACTTAGTCCTGGCAGCAGCTTCTGCTTCCACGAACCTTGGCTGCAGTCTTCTCAGTCTCTGTCAAGATTCCAGGTGGTGGCTTGCCCTGCGACACACTTCTCTGGCCCGGCTATGAGAAGCCGCCTTCTGCATTGTATCTATTTCCTTCCTTTGTTGCAGGAATGAAAGTGGAACTCCCATGCTTCCATGCTCCCATCTGTTGGAGCATAATCCACAAGTCCTCTGTTGTTTTGAAGGAATGGAAGTCTGGAGCACACATTCCTGTTGAGCTGGCTTCTTTACTCAGACTAGCTATGTTGACACATCTGTGCTGTTACCGGGAGCCAGAGTCCATGCTGCTATAGGGAGCCAGAGGCCATGCTGTTATAGGGGGCCAGAGGCCATGCTGTTATAGGGGGTCAGAGTCCCTGCTGTTACCGGGAGCCAGAGTCCATGGTTTTTATTGCTAGCAGTCTTCGATTTTATGGCTCTATCCCGTGTTTACCCACTCACTTGCTGATGGATATTTGGGTTGCTTCCAGCATGGCCCTACTGCAGAGAAAGCTCACATGGTCATCTGAGTGTGTGAAGCCTTGTTTATGCGTGTACACATATGAAGGTGTAATAGGTAGTCATGTGGTAGGTGTGTTTCTAACTAGCTAGCAGATTTCAAATTTCTTCCCCAGGCTGGTTTTTGCCGTTCTGCATCCCGACCAGCACCACTTCAGAGCCTCCCAAATGTAGACTAAGAATCTTGTAAACCTTAATGAGACAAGTGGGCATCGTGGCGTGCTTTAAAGTGAGAAGGCTACGGCAGGCGTTGGAGGCCGTAGGAGTTGACCATTAGGAGCTTGAAATGATGGTTTTGTAAGGAATAAGTTTGGTTTCCACCATGCATGTCAGAAGGTTCTCATCTGCCTGCGACTCCAGCTCCAGGGGATCTGACAACCTTTTATGGCTTCCGTAAGCACATACACACAGAGAGACTCATAATTAAAAATAAAAATAAATCTTCAAAAAGTGAAGAACAGCTATTATAATATTGACCCTTCTGTCAGTATAATTCTATGTATTTTTACTTATTTTGGTCTTTTCAATCATTACTTTCCAGTATTTTGCAGGGCTCAATGCACAGATGTTTGTTGTGTCTCTTTAATTTGATCATATAATAACTAAAAACTAAGTTAGAAATCCTGGTCTGGCACCGTCTTCCTTACCAACACGGCAGGTGGATGATGACTTTATGGCCATGCAGACTTGGGCTGTGGGAGATCCTCCCTCAAGAAAACCAGACAAAACCACTTAAAACTAGCCTAGTGGAATCTCACAGACGCCGGCAGAAAACATGAGAGCACGGGTCGGAGACGAAAGGCAGTTGTTCACACAGCCAGCAGTGTGAACGCCTGTGTGCGGTGCACCGTCGGCGTCCATGTGAGGCGGCAGACTCTAATGGACGCTGCAAGCCATGGCTTGCCCACAACTGAGCAGCCAGCAGCTGCGGGAATCCAGCACTTTCCAGAAGAGGAAGTCGCCTTCCTTCCTGCTAGGTCCAGAGATATCATCATATAAGCAGCTACTAACCTCAAAACTGCAAATTTCAGCTGGGGTGGGGTGGGGTAGGGTGTACCTTTGCTGTCGCTGTGCATGCCCAAGAAAGGGCAGGAGCTCTGTACAGCCAAGGAGCGTCCCTTGTCTGCGTCTGTTTGTCCCTTTACCTCTACTCAGTTTCTGCTGTGACTTTCCTTTAAGCTCTGCTTTATAACTGCACACATGACTAAACCTTCACATTCACTCAGGTTGGCAGTGTGGCCTTATCTACTTTGTTAGTGCTAGGGTAATGCTTTTGTAGATTTCTTACAACTTGCCACTATTTTTATTTCTATTTCATCTTTTTAAATCAAAATGTTTGTTTGCTTGTTTGTTTGTCTTTCTCTTGCTCATTCCACTCACCTACAGCAGTGACAAAAATCCCTGGGAGGCCACAAGCTGAGATGCCCATGGAAAGAGCTTGGAACAAGTTGTTGAATAGGTGGAGGATGGGAGCTGACTGGGAAAACAAGGTATTTCCTGCACAGTGCTAGGAAAGCCCCTGAAGACTGAGGGCCTCGGTAGGCCCTGCACTCTGCCTGCCACACTCAGGTGAAGCAAGAGAGACCCACAACTTTGTCAGATGTGGAGATCCTTTCCCAGTCTGTAGGCTGTTGTTTTGTTCTGATGACAGTGTCCTTTGCTTTACAGAAGCTTTTTAGTTTCATGAGGTTCCATTTATTAATTGTAGATCTTAGAGCCTATCCTGTTGATGTTCTGTTCAGGAAGTTTTTCTCCTGTACCAATGAGATCAAGGATCTTCCCCACTTTTTCTTCTAACAGGTTTAGTGTGTCTGGTTTCATGTTGAGGTCTTTGATCCACTTGGACTTTAAGTTTTGTGCAGAGTGATAAGTATGGATCTATTTGCATTTTCCTACATGTAGACAGACATCCAGTTAGTCCAGCACTATTTGTTGAAGATGTTTTCTTTTTTCCATTGTATGGTTTTGGCTTCTTTGTCAAAAATCAGATATCCATAAGTATGTGGGTTTATTCCTAGGTCTTCAGTTGAATTCCATTGATCCACTAGCCTGTTTCTATGCCAGCACCATGCAGTTCTTATTACCATTGCTCTATAGTATATCTTGCAAAGAGACACAGAGATTCCTCCAGAAGATCTTTTATTGTACAGGACTGCTTTAGCTATTCTGGGGTTTGTTTGTTTGTTTTGTGTGTGTGTGTTTGGTTTTCCATATGAAGTTGATAAATTGTTCTTTCAAGGTCTGTCAAGAATTGTGTTGGGATTTTGATGGGAATTGCATTGAATCTGTAGATTGCTTTTGGTAAGATGGCCACTTCTACTATTTTAATACTACTGATCCATGAGCATGGGAGATCCTTCCATCTTCTGATATCTTCTTCAATTTCTTTCTTCAGAGACTTGACTGGACCTAGGCCCCCAACACAGATATAGCTGATGGGTAGCTCTGTCCTCATATGGATCCCCTACTAAGATGAAAAAAAGGCTGACCCTGACATGGACTCTGTTGTCTGCTTTTTGATCACTTTCCCCTGGTGGGCTGCTTTAACAGGTCACAGGGGAAGAAGATGCACTCAGTCCTGATGTGACTTGATAGCTAGTGGGGTGGGGGGTTCCCTTCTCTGAGGAGTAGGGAAGGGAGAAACAGGGAGGGAAGGTAGTGGTACAGGAGGAAGGGAGGGGGCTACGACTGGGACATAAGATGAATTGAGAGAGAGAGAGAGAGAGAGAGAGAGAGGGTGAGAGCTCTCTATTGGTTGCTTTGTATATTAAAGATATGTCTCTGGACACTAGCCCCGGGGAGAAACAGTTCTTTGTCTATAAGACCCGAAGATATCACTGTCTCATGAACTATCATCACAAACACAGGTGAATAGTATATTTGCTTCTGCAATGATATATTTTGACCTTCTGGAGTTCGTTTATAGACCCACAACTCAAAACCTAACTTGAATCCTGGGAACTTCATGTCTTAGATGTTAAATTACAATTAAGTTTATCTCTTTAAAAAAAAAAGGTTTACAGTTAATTGTTGAAGTGAAGAGAGTATAGCAACTGCTCAACTTCATGGTAAAGCTTTTCTTTCCAATTCCTTGTTACTTTCTTGTTTGTGAGTATTTTGTGCTAAGAGGCTAACCCTGCATTCCTAATTGTGCATCCAGTCTGTGCTCACAGGTCCTCCTGAGAACGTTTTAGATACATAGAAAATTTTGAATGCATGAAAATGTCTAGTACTGATTGTCTGCTGCGATTTTGCTCTGGCACCTGCTCTTCTCTTCTTGGAGTTGATCCCATTGCCTAATTCTGTACATTGTTTCCAAACCTTTCATTAACCATTGTTGGAAATTTTGCTTTTTAACCTCAGCATCCCTGCTTATCAGGAACAGAACTATCTGACTACGAGGCATTTCCTAGAATGATTCCTCCTGCTCTTCAGGCGCTGCTGTTCACTCCCTGAGGCCATTCGCCCAGCTCTGAGCCTGTGTCTCGTTTCTGACCCTGCACAGACTTCTCACAGATCTAGAGGCCGGCTGCATTACTGCCCGATGTTCTGACAAGAAAGCTTCCACAGCCACCTTAGCTTGTCCCGGGTCTGTCAGGCCAAGCAGGGTCCTGGGATCCTTCCAGCCGGAATGAGCTGTCACTGAGGAAAACCTGCTCTGGCAACAAGACGCCTCCTGCCTCTCACCGCCGGCGAGCGAGGAAGGAGGGCATCAGTCCGCTGTCACAGAACTCGCGTTTGTCGGCGACCTCGAATTCACACGTCTGCGGTACCAGACCCGCACCAGAGCAGGCGCACCATCTGCGCAGGCGCACGCCCAGCGCTTCCGCCGTGGGCGTGGCCGCCGCGGGGGCGTGGCCTGCCGGCGGCTCGGGGCCTGCGCACCCGCAGCCCGCGGAGGCGGATGGCGATGGGCGTCCGCGGGCGCCGGGCCTCGGGGCAGGAGCTGGCCTCGGGGAGCCCGGCGCCAGCCGCAGCGGCTCCCAGCGCCGTGGGCTCCCGCCGCTTCCTGCTCTGCCTCTACCTGGTTGGCTTCCTGGTGAGTGCCCGCCCTGGGGCCGGGGAAAGCGCGGAGCGTGCCCGGCTTGGGGTCCTGGCCGGGCTGCGCTTACCCCAGCTCCCGGGGATTCACGCGGACCCTGAAGTGTGCTGTGAGGCGCCTCCTCTTGCCCCTTCACCCCTGACCCCAGGTGTGGCTCCGGGGCGCGACCCCAGTCGCTGTTTGCAGTGACCGGTGCAGCGCTGAGGAGAGGCTGCTGAGGGAGCTAGCGCGGTTGGGACACAGGCCTTTCCCCACAGCAGTGGTCAACAAGTCTTTGCTAATGAGTCCTTCTACACCGGAGGCCTTGACGTTTGCACTTGGAAGTCACACTTGTGTGACGTTGGCAAATGGCACGTGTTTTTGTTTTGTTATAACTTATGTGCGTGTGTGTATATAAACATATATATGTAGATAGATAGATTGATTGATTGATTGATTGATTGATTGATTGATTGATTGATTTGCTTCACAAGTGGTCCTTTCCCTTGTAGAATGAGACGCTTAAGAAGTTATTCTTCCATCCATCTGCCTATTAATGTAATACTTAAGAAAGTTGTGAATACTTGTCATGTCGTACATGATCCCAAAGGCAGTTTCTGCTTCCAGAGGCTTAAGTTGGGAGTCTTGGGCCATTTTCAGGGCAGGAGCCCTGACACGCCCACCCTCACTCCTCTAGGTTTGGTTCAGCAGGCCTAGCTATAACCAGCAGGAAGAAACGCTCAGTAGGATTTCCTCAAGGCAAAAGGAACCAATTAGTTGAAAGGACATTGGGAGAAGGCTTTGTGGCTGGTACCTGGTCAGCACTGAGCCTGGTAAACAGAAACTGTTCTCTGTCCGGGTGAAGTAAGCTTACCATTTATTTCCAGACCGAAGGGCTGCTAGAATTAGGAGTTAGCACGCTGAGCCATGTAGGTGAGGATCAGAGAGGCAGCCTCTGCTCTGTCTGCAAAGTGCCCAGCAGTCAACTGTTCAGTTAGTTCTTGTTAGAATCTTGAAGAAAGTAGATTTCACCAAACGTCTGTGTTTACAAAGCTAGAAGACAAGGAGGACCATGTTACAAACAAAAATGAAAATCCCAACCGTTTTATTTTACCAATAAGGACGCAGGAGCCAGATGCTGGGGTGAAAACCTGCTAGTTCAGAGAGGCAGAGAAAGCACCAGCTGACTTTCCTACTCAGCTCAGGTCTCAGAGGAAAAAGCCCAAAAGGCTCACCAGCTCAGTGACAGCCTGGGAAGAAAAGTCCAAAATACCCAAGGCCAAAGAAGCCCAAAAAAGCCAAGGAGCTGAGGAACTGAAGCCAGAGCTAAGCTAAAAAAAACCCTTTCTACTGCTCCAGCTGTCTTAAATACCCCTCAACTCAAAGTCCCTCCTACTCTTTAAGCCCTGTCAGCTGGTTTCTTGCTCCGCCTCGCCTCACGACCTAGGGTTAACTTTATTAAATCCTGTAAACAGAGAGCTCTTGGATTAAAGGTGTGTGCTAGGGCTGAACCCCACCACAATCACCTGTTTACAGTAAACAGGAAGATCTTGGATTAAACAGGTGTGTGTTACAGCTCAATCACAGTTCAAAATTCGGGGTGCCTGGTGGGATCACACGCCCTGCAGCGGACCACGCCTTAGAGACATCTGTGTATACAGTGTACAGTTTCCCTTCTTGGGCTCCAGGCCTCTGAGAGCCTGGCTCCACCACCCGAGCCGTTGCCCTTTGGTTGTGCCTTAGGATGAGGTGCTGCCTGCTCCACTGTGTACTCAGGGTTCAGAGGAAGTGGGTGCGGATGTTCTGGGGTGATGCCTGTCTCCAGCCCACCACAGATGGCACCTTGGTTGTGTGTGCCACATAAAAAGACTCTGGCCCCGGAGGGTCACAGCAACTACCACGAGCTGGAGTTGATAATGGTGTGAGAATCAGGGAGACAGAGCAGTTCACAAACCCTTTGTTGTATGCGGCCTTCCAGCAGACTTGGATATTCACAGCCTCTCTTAGACTTTCCGTATGCTCTGCACATGGCAAAACTAGTCTGATGTAAAAATTTGAGAAATGTAGTAATGTATTCAAGAGAATAATATATTCAAGAGGATATCTTGAGGGAAATATGTAAGATTTCCAAGTACTTTTTAAAAGATTAGGGATTTTTTTTTCCGTGAGAAATCTTGTGAAGAGCTGCACTTTCTGTGTCATTGAAGGAGCTAATGCTGACTTATCGAGTACCATCTCAGGGATTTCCTGCACAGCTTAGTTACTGTTTTTTTATATTTAGCGACCCTAAAGGCTTGGGAAAACAATTTCTGATTGGAAGAGGAAGGGCACAAGATTGGAGAAGTTATTTGCCAAACATTCTAGTTTTAGCTCTTGATACCATGAGCTTTTCCTTTGTTTCACGGGAAACACTAAGCTCATTGGTCTGGCTATGATGGTGCTGAGGTCTGTGATGTCATCCCCTGAGGTAGCTGGGCAGTCTGTTCCCTGTTTCCAGCCTGTGGCAGGTGACAGCTCATCTTTATTGAGACCTTAGTCTGTGGATCTCAGTATTCCACCAGCCTCCTGTCTTCCTTGTGCTTTCCTGGGCTTCTTCTGAGTATTGATGTGTGACAGATTTTGAAAACTAGTACAGTGAAACATGCTTGTGATATTAGCACCTAAGAGGCTGAGGTGGGGGCCAACCTGGGCTATGAAATGAGGCTGTCTCAGATACAGGCTCTGGTCCATCGGTTCCTTTTTGTAACTTGAGATTCTTTCTAAAAAAAAAAAATCATTATTATTATTACTATTATTATTATTTATTATAATTTATTCACTTTGTATCCCAGCTGTAGCCCCCTCCCTCATCTCCTCCTGGTCCCACCTTCCCTTCCCCCCTTTCCCCTCCCCTAGTACACTGATAAGGGAGATCCTCCTCCCCTACTATCAGACCCTGGCCTATCAGGTCTCATCAAGACTGTCTGGATCCTCTTTCTCCGTGGCCTAGTAAGACACCCCACAAGGGGGAGGTGATCAAAGAGCGGGCAACGGAGTTCATGCCAGAGACTGCCCCTGCTCCCCTTGCTAGGGAACACCCATGGAGACTGAGCTGCCATGGGCTACATCTGTGCAGGGGGTCTAGATTATCTCCATGCATGGTCCTTGGTTGGGGTATCAGTCTCAGAAAAGACCCTGGGCCCAGATTTCTTGGTTCTGTTGCTCTCCTTGTGGAGCTCCTGTTCCCTCCAGGTCTTTCTGTCTCCCCCTTTTCCCATAAGATTCCTTGCACTCTGCCCACAATTTGGCTATGATGTAGCTTGAGATTCTTACTGAAGCAAAAACAGCTTTACCAACAAACACAAACTGTCCCTCCTTCGTTATCCACACAACAGTGAGTTTTTCCGTTCAATGTTCCTTCGTTTCGGGTGAGGGACTTGGGTGGCACACCCTCCTCGGATGTCAAAGGCCAGTCACAAAGAAGCTGAAGTGAAAATTGATCATAGGTCTAGATGGCCCAGGTAGTTACAGTTATCTGGATTCTATCATGGCTCTTAACCTGGTCCTTGTGGTCTGCAGTTATGGTTTCTTCCTTGCTCAGGAGTTTAGGAACAGGTTTTATGTTTGAGACTTGGCTGTAGGTTAAATTCTGCTGAGCTTCAGTGCTAATGAGTCCTGTGGGCTTTGACTTCCCACAGGATTTGTTTGGTGTCAGCATGGTCGTCCCATTGTTGAATCTTCATGTCAAGTCCCTTGGAGTGAGTCCCATGGTTGCTGGAGTCGTAGGTGAGTGTGATGCTGCTTGTGGGCAAAACACTGAATTCCAGATCCCCCCAAAATAACTCTGCCCTTAGCCAAACATCACCAAAAGTAAGTGGGAAATGAAGCAACCTTGGGAGTATTTCCAAGGACCACCCTGAAGCAAGCAGAGTTCATCTCCTCTCGGACCACCTGCACTTGGGAAGGCCCTGAGGTTTGAGTTCCTTCCACATCCCATAAGACGGAAGCTCCGGGCCTCTGGCAGTGTGGTAGTGTGTTTATCTCAGGTGAAGCATGGCCTCTGGCCTCCTGCCCACAGGCATAGTTCTGGAGCTTGGATGAGACCGCAGGGCAATTGGTGGAAGTCACACGTGAAGGGAAAGGGCTTGGGCGACCACCTTGGGAAGCTAGCTGCACACTTCCCACACTGCCAGCTCATCTCAAAAGCCCTCGGAGCTTCTGCCCACACAGCATGAGGTTGTGTCCAGATTGTGCTGATTTGTGAAGGAGGCAGGAGTCCCCAGGGCTTAGAACAGTCTGTGCTGAGTACTGAAAAGCCCTTAATACTAACAGCCCTGAATTCTTCAGTTTTCCACATCACCTGTGCTCTGTCCTGACTCCCCCACCCCGCTCTGATTATGATTTGCCTCAAGATCTGTATGCTGAATTATGCTGACCATTAGGAAAAGCCCAGTGGACCTGTTACATCACAAGGGAAGGAACTCTAGATGTCCGATATTTAACTAAAGCTTTTTCTTCTTAAATTTTGCTTTTTTTTAAACTGCTCTTTGTTATTGTAGTTAGCATGTATGACTGGGGCCTGTCCATTCATGAGTACAACGGACTCTCTTACTCTTCTTTCACCTCTAAGACGCTTGAGGTACAATGAGTTGTTGTTAAAAATTCATTGCTCAGTTATATATTTCCAGGACTCTGATTTTCACTCTTAGAGGAGCAGCATTACTTTCAGGGACCCCAAGACTGGCCCTTGCTGCCATTCCCATGCGCTTGCTCACATTTTAATTTGAAGGCTTTTAAAATAGTTTATGAAAGATGTATGGTGGTTTAGCTTCCTGAGGATGCCCCTTTCCCTGAGTTTTCTTCCTGACTGTTACCACATTCGCTTAGCCAGGCCCAGCACCCTCTTCTGGAATTTCCAATTGTTTTTCAGGCTCCACCTACGGTGTTTTGCAGCTCTTCTCCAGCACCTTTGTGGTAAGCTACCCTCCATCCACTAAGTTCTTCTGTACCCTGCAGCCCATCTCCAGCACAGTGCGTCGGCCACAGTGCGCCATCGGCCACAGTGCTTAGGAAAGTGGAGGGCTGGAAGAGTGCTGAAGAGGGGGGTGCGGGTGATTGGAAAGTTCAGCCTTGTTAAATATGAGACGGGCAGAATGCTGTCTTCCGCCCTTTGCTTGGCCAGGGGAAGGCATGTGCTTTAAAGGGTCTGTGAGGCCTGCTGAGCGAGTGCTTGTTGGGGAGGAAGGGGCTTACTTTATAACAGGCTTCCCTGGGACTGTGCTGCTGTTCCGGGAGTCGGTGCTGAATTTTGTACTGTAGAAAACGCCGAGACCAGAAGCTCTCACCCATTGTTTGCTTCATGTAATCGACAGCCGTCAAACCCACCTGTATTTCCACTGTTCTGTATGGAAGTGTGTGCACTGAGCTAGTTGCCTCATTATGTACAAGTAACTCAGAGTAAGCCACTTTGTTTGATTGGCCAGCTACCCAAAGAATGAGTAGAGAGATACAGTGGTGATTTTGTCCCTCTCCCTGGCCCCTTGGGTGTCTGAAATCCACGACTGTCAGTAGGCATCCGGTCTGTCTCCCATGCGGCCTGCTGTGGGCACCTTGCTCTGGAGATCTCAGCGTCCAGTCAGAAAGCTCAGTGGTCATCTCTTCATTCTTACAGACAGCAGCAGCAGCGGCAGGTTGAAGCAGCTGCCGCCATCTCATGTTTACAGAGATCAGGTTTTCCCTGCTGCTTCTTTGTTAGGGGACAGTTTTAAAGGAAACTGGATGAGATTCTATTATAAATTGTTAAGTTTTAAGACACAGCTCAAAGCCACCTGTAACTCATTTCCAGGGAATACAGTCGCCTCTTTTCTTTTTTTCTTTTGAGACAGGTTGTCTCTATGTAGCTATCTGTGTCCTGGAAGTTCCTAGGTAGACCAGGCTGGCCTTGAGCCTGCAGGGATTTGCCTGCCTCTCAAGTGCTGGGTATAAAGGCCTGTGCTCCTTTGCCCAGCCTGATCCAATGCCCTCTTTGGTCCTTTTTGGATGCTGCATGCACATGTGACACAGACATCCATACAGGTAAAACACTCAGACATATAAAATAAAAGCAAATACATCTTTTAAAGGTGTTGAATTTGGGGATGTTCTAAACTGGAGGAAGAGAAGGCAGAGATGACAGGTTGACTAGGCCTTGGGCAGTGATCAGCATTCTCTGACTAGCTCTGTCATTCTGCTGGAAGGCTTGATATTTTGTATCTGGAGTCTGGCTGTGAGGGGTAAAGGAAGTACAAGACCAGTTAGAAAGTTGGCCTGGATCCCTGCCCACCTTGCCCTCCATCCCAGGCCTTCCACGTCACTGAACCTGTGTTTACCTAGATTTGGGACCATAAGGTTATTTTTTCCTAGTTACTTCCTTTTTTGGATTTTCTAAATTTCTAAACAACATGACTTCCGAGGAGCGTAGTTGCATAAAACAATGAAAACAAAAATGAAATGAAGCTTCGGAGCTTAATCTTCTATGTCACGGTCCAGCGAGATTCCCAGCTACTGGGTCACCAGGCATCATGCTGGTGTGGCATCCGTGTTGCACTCACCTTGTGGGATGGGCAGAAAAAACAGCCTGTGGCATGTGGCATGACACAGCCATGCCCCTGCCCGACTCCCTGGCACGCACGAGCCATGCTGTACTGGTCCCTGTGTGGCGGCGGCAGCTCTCAGAGACTCTGCTTGTTCCTCCCAGGGCTGTTGGAGCGATGTGGTTGGAAGGCGGCCCTCCTTGCTGGTGTGTGTTCTGCTCAGTGCCCTGGGCTACCTGCTCCTTGGAATGTCCACCAGCGTGTTCCTGTTCACACTGGCTAGAGTCCCTGTGGGTGAGTTCTGGTGCCTGACAGTGTCTTCCGTGTGGTGCTCTGTACGGACCCTAGCCTGGTGGTGACACCCCTACTGTCGGAGCTCAGCCAGAGACCAGTGGCTGTCGCAGTGACAATGGCAGTAAGCAGTCGGTTAGCCGTGGCTGCTTACTGGGCATTTACTGCTGCCAGGCCCTCTGCCAACTTATCCGAAGCCCCCACCCTGGCCTGTGACAGCCTCTCAGAGCATCATTAGTGTGAGTCACTCTGCCGCACTGGCGTTGGTCTCCTCTCTCCAGATCCCTCCGGCCCACCCCTGACTCCCTGAGAGCACTTTCCTCTTGGACCTCCAGTGAGAGGTTTATCCGCTCTTGGAAACCTCAGGTGTCCGCACGCTCCGGTGTCTGGTGGGACCTGCTAGGGAAGGTGTGTCCCTCCTTGTCTTTCTTAGCATCCGCAGCCCCAAGTCTCACCAGTTTTCTTTCCTCAGCTCGTGCAGCGTGGCAGACGTCGCCACCACAGTCACGAGCCTGCCGCACTGCACATCTGTCCTCATTAAGATAAGCTTCTCCACTGCACCGCACAGGAGCAGAGCGCCGCAGTGACACACTTCGAGGGTCAGCCCCTGGGAGGTTGTCACTCTGCTTCGTATGCACGTGCAGTGTGCACGCAGCTCCCATCCTGGCCTGTGACAGACTCAGGTCGGCTTCCCACATTCACTCGGGGAGGGGGTTGCCTTTCCGTAAGAGAGGTCCACAGTCCAGCCCTCTAGTGCATTCTGAGTCACAGTTATTACCTGCTCAGCGCCTCCTGCTGCTGCATTTATTGTATTACTGTTTGGTTCGCGTTGCTCGGAATGACCCCTCACTGTGCTCCACCACCATGCAATGTCCTGTTCTGAATTCTCTGCAAACCAGGGCGGCAGACGAGAGAAACCTAAATTTGTTTGCAAAATGGGTTGAGATTTAGGGGAAGGAGGGGTTGCTTTTCTTTAGTAGGAGGTAGTGTGAGGTGCTCGTAGCCCAGTCAGCTGTACTTTCTAACGTGTGGGCGTCCCAGGCTTTAGAAACAGGAGTAATGCCTGGATTCCCTCTTGCCCCCACCTGACCCTTCTCAGTGTCTGTGCGTCATGATGGGAGGGAACACCGGAACTTTTGCTAGGCTTGTTCTTGCCATCAGTTGTAGACCCAGATCCTATGTCCTGAAATGTGCCCCTACTTCGTGCCTGTGCTCGACATCTGCTCTTCCATGCCCAGCCTCTGAAGAGCCCTCCCACGAGGTGTTTCTGGAATATTCTTCCTATAGCCTTCTTCCCTCAGAAGGTAAACCCGGCAGAGATACAATTTCAAAGAAATTCGTGAAGTTCCTTAAACATTTGAGAATTTTTCTCTCAGCCCAGACCTTCTTCATGTTCTAGAACAAGGCCAGAAAGAGTCTGTAACACCCTAAGGGGATTTGGGGGTTTGTTTTCTGAGGGAGCTGCCCATTGTGTCTGGTGTGCACACTCTCCCTTTGAGCTGAAACCCTGGTACTGTGGGAGCCAGCAAAAGCCCCTGTGCCGAGCCACAGCTTGGAGAGATGCTGGGTCCTCTCCAGGGAGCTCGTAAGAGTTTATTAGACGTCGGCTGGCAGCCCCCTCCCTAGGTTCATCAGCGTGTCCTTAAGTTCTTCACATGGAGTCAGACAGTCCTCAGCAGAAAACCGTCAGGCTGAAACCGCTGGGTAGTCAGACTGATTCACAAGTCTCTGACTAGTAGGACGCAGTTGGCGTTGTTGAGGACACCATCAGAGTCGCTGGTGTCTTCCCGGGGTGTGGCTGGCAGTGTTGGTTAGATAAAGCTGCCTGGTGTTCCTCCTCTCTGGCATCCTTTCTGCTGTTCCGACCATACCCCTCGCTACCTTCTAACATAGTCTCTATCTTTCACCGCAAGAAGAACCCGCATTCCATGAGGGTGGCTGTAGCTCTTTATTTGTAGGTTGCTGCTGGGCTTTTGTTTCTGTTTCTTGACATTTTGGTTAGCTTTTGTTGCTTTATCCACAGGTTCGGACCAATGGTGGCACAGGGTAGGTGTACTTTGTAGTATTTTGTAGTGAGTGAGTAGGGAAGCCATGTAACCAGGTAACTGAGGGAGCCACCGAATGAGGGGGGGGGGCGCACAACAGAGACTGCCCAGGGGGAAGGCTTTTATTTTAGGTAAAAGATAGACAGTATCCAGAGCAGAGAGAAGAAGCAGGGCTAGGAAAGTGGGAGAAAAGAGTGGACATAGTGAGAGAGCAAGAGCTAGAGAATAGAGCACGCTGGGAGAGAATCAGTGAGCATCTGGAGAAAGAGGGAGAGCATAGTGAGAATCTCGGGGTGGTGGGGAAAACCTTGCCTTTGTGAAGAGTTGGGGAGCAAGCAGGTCGAGGAGGGCTGGGATGAGCATGGACGCGGGAATGTGCAGCAGGTGCTTGTGATACGGAGGGAACCTGGAGGCTGGTGTGGGCTTTGCTGTGCGACCACAGGTAGCTGCTCGTCCCTTCCACCAGAGCTGAGGGAAATGAGCCCTTCCGCAGATAGAAGCTGGTTCCGGTTCCACAAGTTTCTAAGGAATGCCGGCAATCTGGATGTTTGGACTGCCTGAGCCCTAACAGCCACGGGGAGTCTTGCTTGGGTAACAGGGAACGGAACATTAGGATGTCGTGATGAGCTGTGGGCAAGCTGGACTCCGAGGCCCTCTGTGCTGGGGAAGAGGGAACGGCGCGGTTAAGGTGCTGGCTCCGGAGTCCATTCATGATGGGCTGAGTCCCGCAGGCATTAGCAGCTCAGAGGAAATGGAAGTGGGAAGGCCACTCGGGTCTGCCAGTTACAGAGCATGTCTCTTCTTCCTCGCAGGTGTTTTTAAGCACACCCTCTCCATCTCCAGGGCTCTGCTGTCCGACCTGGTCACAGAGAAGGCGCGGCCACGAGTGCTGGGACACTTCAACACGGCCTCGGGCGTCGGCTTCATCCTGGGGCCTGTGGTTGGTGGGTACCTGACAGAATCAGATGGCGGGTTCTACGTGGCAGCCCTCATCTGCTGCTCTGTCTTCCTCCTCAACGCTGGTGAGTGCGCTGTGGGACATGCCACTGAGCCGCGCAGGTCTGCTCACTTCTGTCCGCATGCAGTTGTGTCTTTAAATGCGGAAGAGGCCACCTTATGTCTGGGGCGGTGGCTCTGGGTTCAAGAGCTTCGGCTGCCCCAACAGTGGGGTCCGAGCAGCTGTGCCAACGGTTCACAACTGTCTGTAACGTAAGGTCCAAGCGATCTGGCCTCTTCTGGCCTCCGTGGGCACCTGCACTCACTTGTGCACATAAAACTCAGGCACATGCCCTCATATACACATTCCTGTAATAATGATGCCAATAATAGAGCAGGCAGATTCACTGCTTAAAACTGAGAGTTAACTGGAAGGTCCTCCGTCTGCTTTCAGAGTGACTGGACAAGTGTGTGTCACACCAGCACTGAGCTGGTTTTCTTCTGCGTCTGTCCCCACACTCACAGTTTCTCCATCTCCTGGCTGGCAGTGACTGGTACGCTCTCACCTGAAATGGGACTTGGTGCCCACCTCCCTGCTCCATGCTGGGATTTTCTCTTTTTAATTAATTTATTTTTTTACAAATTACAGTTTATTCACTTTCTATCCCAGCTGTAGCCCCCTCCCTCCTCCCTTCCCATTCCACCTTTCCTTCCTCTTCTCCTCCCATGCCCTTCTCCCAGCCCACTGATAGGGGAGATCTTCCTCCTCTTCCCTCTGACCCTAGTCTGTCAGGTCTCATCAGGACTGGCTGCATTGTCTTCCTCTGTGGCCTGGTAAGGCTGCTCCCCCTGAAGGGGAGGTGATCAAAGAGCCAGCCACTGAGTTCATGTCAGAGACAGTCCCTGCTCCCCTTACTAGGAAACCCATTTGGACACTGAACTGCCATGAGCTACCTCTGTGCAAGAGTTCTAGGGGTTCTTCATGCGGAGGTTTTGTCTGACTTAATGTTAACTTTTTATAGATAGGGGCTCTGCAGATAATGCGTGTTCTTTACATTGGCCTTTGACTTGGCAGTTGTTTCCCTGCTGTGCAGAGTGTTTTGTTTTGCTGGCGGCCCCCGTCTCTGCATGCTTTCACTGCTGTTCTTGTTACAGCATACCCAGAAGTGTCATCACCTGGCCCGGTTCTGAGAAGCTGTTTTCTTCCCCTTTCCTCGAGGCGTTATGTGCTTAGGTCTCACATTCGTCTGTAATCCATTTTGAGTTCATTGTTGGGTATGGCATAAGACAGGGACCAATTCCATTAATTTGTTCAATATGTATTATCTTAGTAATTATAATGTATATGGAAACATCTCTATTTAATAGATCTGTTAGATTTTTCAATAATGTATGGAAGTTTAAAAAAATAAAGCAACTATGCATTTTTCTGTCACAGACCCCCTCAGTGCCTGCTGGTCAGGGTAATGTCATGCCTTATTCATTTTACCCAGTGATGGGCTCTGTCCACACAGCCCTGCTGGCCCACCTCACGTGTGCAGGCTGGCTGCCCCTGCAAGGCTCTGCACGACCCCTTCCTGTGTAGGCCATGCTCTTCCCACTTGCCCTTCCCCGCCCTCTTCCTCCTCTTGTTCACTTCACACACATCCATTTGTCTTTCCTGGCTATTCTTTGCCTGCTTAGGGTGTCTCGTAGCACTTCCGAAACACTGTTGCTGTTTCAGTTCCATGCCTGTATTCTACAGCGGACTGCACCGGGCAGGCATTATTCCAGACCCTGGGCTGCACCTGGCCCTGCGCCTATCCTCGGAAGTCAAGCAATAAAAACACCTCGTGCACTGCGGGAACCTTGAGTGAGTCACGTGTCCAAAATTCTCTCTGCCCAGAGATCCTGGCATGGACAGGTCTTCGATAAGCATCTCTGTAAATGAGAGGAAGCATGCCAAGTGTCTGGGTGGCCTTCAGTTTAATCACACACCTTCTTACTGCAGGGGTTCAGGCCTTCACCTTGGCATAATGGTGAGCAACACGTTCCACGCTGGCTTACTTCCAGATCCGGGGAGCAGGCTCCGTGGGCTTAATTTCAGTTGTGGCAGGGTCACTCTCTAATTTCTTCTTGTTTGGTTGGTTTTGTTTTTACTTTGGGCATCTGGGAATAGGCAGGCCTGGGGCAGGGCATACCTGAGGGGTAGAGCATCAGTCCAGCTGGGTACAGAGTTCTGCTGCCCTCGCCCAGGTGGCCCGCACGGGGCGTCTGCTTTACTCGTTCCGCTGCTGCTCTCATGCCTTCCTCTCTAGCTTGCGTTTCTCCAGCTAAGAAACTACGCTGTGCTGACGGACTCAAGCTCACTTCCTGCCTGGCTGTGTATTAGCATGAGCCCTAAGAATGGCCCCTCAGTCTTCTCAGTCTACTGTGTGCTAGCACAACTGGTGGCCTGGCTATCGGACCCGGAGAGATTTTACACAAAAGCAGTGTTTCCCAAGTGTCATCATCATTACGGTTTTGACGCAGGGTCTCTTGTAGCCCAGGTTAGCCTCCAACTTGTTAGGGCATGGATTGCGAAGAGGTCCCAGAATGCTCAAGGTGGAAGCCCGCCAGGCCAGGAGTCTGAATGGCTGTCCTGGCTGCTGCCTTAGGCCGGGTGTTGTGGGCCCTGAGCATGGCGCGCTCTGCGATTCTGCAGGTGGGACTCCAGTGGACAAGAGCCCACCTGGTGTCTCCTGAAAGCTCCTGCTCTCCCCCTGCCCTGCCGACCCAGGCCAAGGCCCATCCTGTTGCCCTCCCCAATGCTGGCATGGCCCTCACATCTAAGCCTGTTGCCTGTTGACCTGTCTGAGTCTCTTTTCAGGTTTGGGTTTCTTGAGGGCAGGATTTTTCTCTAGGCTCTGACCTGCTTGCTTGTGTGTGTGTGGTGGTGTTAGCACACTGGAAACACAATCTGTGAGCCATGTGTGCTCACACGGCTGGATAGACAAGTGCACAGGCAGATAGGTAATTACCGAGTTTGGTGAGAAAGGCGTTCACACGTACACCTTCGTGCAGGAGCTCAGGATGAAGGGATGGCCTAGTGGAAATCACACACGCTGAGAAGGCAGTGACGGTTTTTTTGTGAGTTTCGGTAGCTTCTGTGGAGCTCAGGAGTCCCTTGCTAGGATCCTGATGCCAACGCAGGACTGTGGGCACGGTGGGAAGGCGGGACTCAGTACGAGCTGGTAAAGCTGGCAGAAGGTGCAGGTGATTGACCTAGTACCGAGGAACCGCTGTAGGAGCTGAGCACACGAGGTGCCTTAACGGGCCTCTCCGCGCTCTGCTCCAACAGGTCTCGTTTGGCTGTTACCTTGGAAAGAAGCAAACCTCGGCAGCCCAGAGAACGGCCGGAGCCTGGAGGAAGAGCACGCTACTGTACCCATAAAGTCAGAAGGTCCGCTGCAGGGAGCCGACCACTCCCCTGAGGCCGGGAGGAGGAGAGAGTGGAGGCCCTGGGCTGATGTCATGTCGGCCCTGAAGGACATGAAGAACCTGATGGTTTCTGCCCTGAGGGACGTGTTTCTCGTGCGCCTGCTCATGGGGGTGGCCGTCATGCTGTACTACAGTAACTTCGTCTTGGCCCTGGAGGAGCGCTTTGGGGTGCGGCCCAAGACCACAGGGTACCTCATCAGCTACACCAGCGCCCTGGGTGCCCTGGCTGGCTTCGCCGTGGGCCCTGTGCTGCGGCTGTACGGGCACAACTCACACAGGGTCCTGCTGCACTCCAGCGCGCTCACCTGCCTGCTGCTGCTGCTCTACTCTGCGGCCAGCACGGTGGCCGTGGTGGTCCTCTCCGCCACGCTCCTGTCCTTCTCCACCACCCTCGGGAGAACCTGCGTCACCGACCTGCAGCTGAGCGTGGGCGGGGCGCAGGCCAGCGGCTCCATCATCGGCGTGGGCCAGTCCGTGACGGCGGTGGGCCGCATCCTCGCCCCGCTCCTCTCCGGTGTGGCCCAGCAGATCAGCCCCTGCGGGCCCCCGAGCCTGGGTGCCGCTCTGGCCCTGGTGGCTATTTTAATCATGTTGCTGAACAGACCTCACTTCTCTGGGCATGGGGGTAAGAGACTAAAGAGCGAGTAGGATGGATTGGGACCCCTTGGAGAAGCAGAACCGCGCCAATCAGCGGGAGGTCTAAGAGCAGCTGCGTCCGTGTGGGTGTGCACAGGCCCCACCTGCGCAGGCGCGCCTGCAGCGGCACCCTAGAAAGTCAGCAAGGTTCAGGTTGAGCACAGCTCTGCCTGGGCCCCATGTCGGGAGCTTCTCCGAGAGGCTTCTCGTCCCAGCTGGCTTCAGAGGCACCATGCTGCAGGAGGTGAAGATGCTGGTAGAGAGCGGCTTGGTGTGTGGACAGAGGGAAGACCCAGGCTGTGCCTGCTGAAGAGGGGCTGCTGTGTTAATCACCCGCTGACCATCTCTGGAAGGCAGGTCCCTCCCACCCCCATAAGCTCAGAAGCCAAAAGTAGCTTCTCCGCCAGAATCCAAGGGACCGAAGCAGCTGCTTCTCTTAAACCAGCCTGTTGCCTTCTCAGCCGCTGAGACATCAGGTGCTGACCCCAGCCCCAGACACATCTGTGGGCTTTTACACCTGGGCGGCCATTTCTCACGGAGGAGGAGGAACGCGCTGAGACACTAGTTTTGATTAAAGTAAAACGTAGAGACCGCACTATCCGACAGCTGACTGAGTGTGCCCTAAACTTCCTGCTTGCCCCGGTGGGGGCGCACGCACCACCCTTGCCACCGCCCAGGAACCAGAATGCACTAGCAACAGGCAGCTCCCGGCTGCCTTCTCTTCTCCCTGGGACTAAATCACTTAGGACTTCGGGAAGATCCCTGATCCCAGAAGCCCTGAGACCCGGAGGAATTGCTAATAACATGCTGGCAGCGGAGGAAGGACACAGAGGACTGTTGAAATAAACTTCTCTACAGAGAGAGGACCAGGGCGTCCAGGCCGGGGAGGGAGAGGTCGGCGCTACTGGCTTGCTGACAGCTGGGGTGACACTGATGGTTTGTGGGCACTGCATAGGGGTCACCCCCTCACAGCCAGCACTCACATCCTTTGAATCCTCTTGATCATTCCTCCAGGATGTTATGCCTGGTCTCAACCTAACCTAACGTGTCTGTGAGTGGTATTTCAACAACTAACTTTTCATAACTCTAATGTTTACTGCTTATAAATCAGAAACAAAGAAAGTATCTCAATAGGTTTAGGTATGGTGTGCGGGATAAATTCAAATATGACAGTTAGAGGCATCTTTTAGCTTGAATATCATCCCTTTCCCCCTCTGGCTGCAAGAAAATTCATTTTTAAGCTGTGAATTTGACATGGGAGCTAAGAACCCTTAAGGGACCAAAGCATGGCTTGAATGGCCATGGCTCCTCACAACATCACAGTGTCGTGGGGACTGGGTTCAGGACACTAAATGGATTGTCATGACGTAATGTTGCAGAAGTGTGTCTCCAAAGACTGTTTGTACTCAAAGACCGTGGGTTTTTCTTACAAGTGCTTACAATAGCCATGTTTGTATTCCCAAAACCATAGCACTTTATTTTTTAAGTCAAACCTATAAATTTAATGAAGCTTTAAAACCAGTAAGACGCATGTAGATACTGAAAACCCAAATCAACCAGTATCTAGAGAAACATTGTGACCTTCTGTTAGTGACTTGAAGGCTGTGTCAATGTGACTTTTGTTTGTTTTGTCTTCTTTTTGGTAGCTGCTATTGCATATCTCATCTTGTCTGGTGTCTCATTCACAGTGGAGTCTGTCGATCATCATGTCCTGGGATGTGTCCACACTCCAGGCCCAGCATATTGCTGCTAGGGACCACTGTGAGGAGTTGTCTAGCTGATTTGTTTACACAGAAAGCTTTGGGAGCCATTCTTTTGATGAGTGGAATTTATATTTTTTTTTCGGGATAAAATCTCAGGGAAATTAAATTTGCTCTGTTAACATGTGTGCCGTGTTCTTTAAATTCTCTTACATAACATCCATGATCCTGTGTGAAGTATCAGGTTGAACCACATGAATTTGTTCCTGTATCACTGAAAAATAACCCCCAAGTAGTTTAACTTGGAGCTGTACAGACACTTGCTATAGAGATATGGAGGGTTTGTGAAGGGAGCTCTTCTGCCCACCCCAGTGTGCCAGCCACAGACAGATGCTGGGGAATAGGCCTCTCGTGGAGCTCTGTGTTTCGGAAGGTGTGTCTTTCCCACAGAGCAGAAGGTGCACAGCTCAGTCCAGAGAGACAAGCAAAAGATGGGCCCTAGGGAGCCATATTTGCAAGGCTTCAGCCATGAGCTGAGTGGCCTGAACAGTGGTGCAGGGGTGGTCGTCCCTGTGGCCCACCAAAGGGGCTGGAAAGGGCATGCTCTGGATCTGGCTGCATGCCTTTGACCCCCACGTCCAGACATCTAACACACAGGGTTAAGACTCACTGGACAGAATAGGAGGCAGGGTGGGGTGGAGCAAGAAGGCCAACTCCTACCTGAGGAGCTGTTGGCAACAGAGAGGGAGAGTCTTTGTCCTTAAGGGTGTAACACGGCAGTCAGCCACGTTCCCAAGAGTGGGCCGCACAAATAGGACAGTCAGTTAGGTGGGTGAAGAGGTGCAGGTGGACCTGGGGAAGCCATGGAAGGGGCTGAATGTGATAAAAACACACATTGAAATACTGAAAAAAACAATGATAAAAATACTTAAAAACAGAATATTGCTATTTTAGCAAAGTATACAGAAATGATAGACGATAAATTTCTAGACTGCAGTAATAGAAAAATTGTATCTTTATCAGTCAAACTAAACCATTATAGCTCAATAAATAAAAATCCTCTTCAGTGCAAATACAATCAAAATGAAAGGTGGCGGCTGGAAACATGGGCCTGGGGAGTGTTTCTTCAGGCTTGTCTAAGGCTCACTGCTGAATGCCGTACACACCCGCAGCCATAGGCTCACTCCAGGACCCCCAAGGATACCCCTGCAACCAGTATCAAACCTTAGATAGCCTGTTGTTTTTTTCTAAACAGATATGAATTTAATTTTCCCCTTCCTAACTGCGATAGTGGTTCCAGTGTGAGGTACCAGTGCAAATGTAGGGTGAATTTATTATGCTGCTTCACAGTTTCACTAACAGCTTTATTCTCTTGCCCCAAGCTAAGAGCACCGACCTTTGCACTTAGAGCAGGAGCTTCATAGCTGCCCTTTGGCAGATATAAGCTGCATCCTCAGTGCAGTAGGACCTAGAAGAACACAAGAAATGCATATCCGCACAGTGATGGAATCGCTAAGGTGCATGTCAAGTCCCTAATACTTGGGCTGCATGCAGGCGGGCACAGAGTGGCGTAGTTCAACTACACACCACTGTGCTTGAAATGGTTTAAATCTCATGTGCTGTTTATTTCTAGAATTTTCACTTAATACTTTTGAGACCTTGGCCAAGTGGTAAGTGCTTTGGAAGTAACTTCCTAGCTGAGCACATGTGCGTAGAGGGTCTCCTGAGAGGCCTCCTCCATGAGCTGACGGCCATACTCAGGAGCGCTGCGGGAGCGTGGGAGGAAGGACAGAGGGAGCCTGAGGGCCCCAGGGCGCCACAGGAAGACCAACAGAGCCAACGAACCCGGGCTCACAGAGACTGAGCCAGCAGCCAAGGGCTCGCGTGGGCTGGGCCTAGGCCCCTACACACATGTAGCAGATGTGCCGCTCAGTCGTCATGTGAGTCTCTTAACAGTGGAGTAGGGGCTGTGTTGAAGCTGCCTCCCACCGCTGGGTCACTTTCCCTCCTGGGCTGCCTTGTCACTCCCAGTGGGAGACGATGCGCCTAGTCCTGCAGTGACTTGAGGGGCCGACCAACTGGGGCCTCACCTTCTCTGGAAGGAAGGAGAGGGGAGACTAGAGGGAGGAGAGGAGGGAGGGGAGTGGGATCAGGGTGTGAAGTGATGAAACAAACAAACAAATAATCGAGGAAAAAGAGAGATGCCCTGGGGCAAAGGAAGAAGCAGCGGTGGCAGCAAGGTGCCCACGCCCCATGCCGTGTGTGGACGAAACTCTAAATTGTAGTGGGTTCATACATAACTCCATAATTGCTGCAAACCATCTGGTGGGACAATGGCTGCCACTGGACTGGAGGAGGAAGGCCGGGTTTCATATGCAGGAGCGGGCATTATCTCTGAGTCCTTTAAAGTGCATCTATTAATACATAAAGCTGAGGAATCTAGTGTAATAACTATAATGAGGTATTTAGGATAGGCATTTGGGTTGAGTATAATTTAAAGTTTTTGGATTCTAAAATTGGCTTTCGTGAACTGCAGCCGTCATGACCTCTTCGGCACAAACAAGAGTCAAATCTCCCCAAACTGGTGTTTCTGGGAGTGCTCCAATTTCCTGTGACATCCTTTACTCTGGACTGTTGGGGTCCTCTACCTTCCTACTGCTGTGACCCTGAAGTACAGCTCCTGGCATTGTGGTGACCCCCAACCATAAAATTATTTCATTGCTACCTTATAATTACAATTTTGCTACTGTTATGAACTGCAAATGTCTGATATGCAAGCTCCCTGATATGGGACCCTGTGAAGAGGTAGTTCAACCCCCAAAGGGGTCACAACCCACAGGTTGAGAAACATGGGCTCTAGGAAAGGAGACAGGAATAAGGTGTCCTAAGCAATGGCCTCTGTGAACTCCGTAAGGCAGGCCGGTGTCTGGACATGGCTGGCTCGAGTCCTTGCGCACATATGTACAATGTGAAAACAGTGGGCAGGCCCAGGTGCAGATGTGCTCAGCTTGCACAGAAACACAAATTTGAAGTCGCATCAAGTGCTTGCCTGCTCAGTGGTTACCACAACTGCCCGCATGGATGTTTCCTGTACACATTTCTGCAAAGCCCACTCTGGAGAGGTCAGCTCAGTGTAGAGTCAATGACATGAAGAATTCTGGAGGAAAGTATTATCTGCGAGGGACAAAGAGCTATGGTGACAGCTCGGCAGCCTGAGAGGTTCCCATTCCCTTAGAAGGGAGATGCAAACAAAGTTTATGTATGTACACACACACACACACACACACACACACTAACACGAGGAAGGGGAACGAAGCTGTGAAATGCTGTCTTCTGGACAGGACATAGCTGTAGCACACACACACACACACACACACACACACACAGGCACACGCACACGAGGAAGGGGAACGAAGCTGTGAAGTGCTGTCTTCTGGACAGGACATAGCTGTAGCACTCAAGAGCTCCCAGCAGCTGTGTTTACCACTTAAGGACAAGGCCATCAAAAATTCCAGCATGGATGGGAAGGTACTCTCCTCACCTCCTATTGAGGAGCTACTGACAGGCGATGGCTGCTGCCGGAGAGAGACTCCTTCTTTGGAAGCCATGCTTGCGGCAGTGGCCACACAGCCACGCACAAATGGTCAGTCCACACTTTTGGATCTAGTGGGCTATCAGAAGTGAACAGGACAGGGAGTAGGATGAATTGGAAGGGTATTTTTTAAGATGGTGTGGATTTGGAGGGGAAAAGCTTGAGGAGTATATGAACATATTTTATTACATAGGTATATAAATTCCTCAACAAATAAACCAAGTGCAGTGAAACAAGAAAATGAAACACAAGTTCAGGTCACCACTTTGGGTCATAATATGTTCTTTTCAGCAAGGTGGGGCCATGCTTCCTCGCCTCTCACATCTCAACGCCGACTGTTTTTGTCCAATCTGCTTGCTACAGATGTTAAAAATTAAATAAATAAACTAAGCCGGGTGCTGGTGGAGCATACCTTTAATCTCAGCACTCAGGAGGCAGAGATGGGTGGATCTCCATGAGTTCAAGACCAGCTTGGTCTACAGACTGAGCTCCAGTACAGCCAGGGCTACACAGAGAAACCCTGTCTAGAAAAACCAAAACAACTAAACCAAACCAAAGCAAAAGCAAAGCAGCCATATATCTGCTGAGCATTTATAAGCGTGTTTATCCTGTCCTCATCCACAAGAGGGCACCGCGGAAGAAGCGTGTGCGTTCTAGGTAATATAGGTCACCTCAGATGAATGGGTATGTGGAGGACGTGCCTGGATTCGTGCAAACACCGCAGTGATCTATATGAGGGAGATGAGCCTCTGTAGATTTTCATATCCCCAGGCATCCCAGAAGCTATGCCTCAGTAGTGTTTAGGGTTCATCATAGAGTGTCAGCAATCACTTCATCTAGACAAATATTTTTAGACCTCCATTAAAGCATGAAGTCCAGTGTGCCCCTTGAACTGGCATTAATGCCACTGTTCCTGTACTTGGGGATGAAATGGGCAATTTTAACCCAAAAAATACAAAATGTGTTAAGGCATAATAACTTCTTGGCTACACTTTTCATATGAATGAACCCCCTCACTGCACAGAAATGAATGAATGAAATTCCAACTCAGACATTTGGAGGCAGGTACACAGAACACATGGTTTCAAAGGCGTTGGATTCTGGTACCAAGTTTTCTTGATTTGTTGACTGTCTGAAATCATCAAAGCCCTTAATCTAAAGTGTGCACTGTTCAAATCCAGTTTCTTAGCAATGACAGGGAAACTCTCAAAATTCTCCAGGTACTAGGGAGCTTTGACTGGGTCAGATGGCATTTGGACAAAAGGAGGCTCGTTGCACACTTCAGAAATTTAAATTGTTGCTGCCCTTGAAGAGTTTCGTTTCCGTAGTACCCTTTTCTATAGTGAAAAGTTCTACAGGATTTCTACTAGAATCAGGTAATCATCAAAAGAAGGAAGTACAGAGAAAAGCCTAACATCAAATTTATTTTATTGACTTTGTCATCAAACAAATTAAAAACTGATAATAATTACGATAAAACTACTTGAGGTGTTCCTTTTCTGAAATTTATACAATGTCACAAATGTTTTATGTGATTTTCTTTTGTAGTGAAAGCTGAATTTGGTCTATTTAGCCTGAAGTGTCACAACATCCTATTTCATGTTTCTTCCTTCAGTTCCAGAAAAGTGTTATTCTTTATAATATTTATTCATATAGAAAAACCAGTACAATTATTTGAAGGTTATTTTCTACTTCTGCCTTCCTTGCCAGGAGTCATAAATTATTATTACTACGCACAGTGACTATGTATTTTGGAAAAATAAACATCATAGCATTTTATGAATTCTATTTCTATAGTAAAACCTATAAAAGTTTTGATTTCTTCTCAGAAGGCATACATGGTTTATAAAAATATAGTCATTTAAAATAGAGATTTCTTTCTTTTTTTGGCACAATTCTAAGCATGTAGCTTTCCAGTTGCATGTTATGTGGCTTTCCATGGGTTCATCTGGGATGGCTGGGAAGCGTGTGTCTAACTGAGCATCATTTCCCATCTCACAAGATGCTGCGGCAGCACCTCAAGACAGGAGCAAGAAAAGCCGAGAGAAGAGGGTGGGGAGGGGTTGCACACCTTCTGGTCCCACTTTCGCACACTCTTACCCTCTTCCTGGTTGCCTTGATCCGACTGCCCGTGGCCAGCCATGTCTGAAGAGACTGTCCTTACTGATGATCACTGTGGGAGGACGCTGGGACCCACGCCTCCCTCCAGGTGAGCCTTGGCTGTATGAGGACATGAGCCCGAAAGCAAACCTGTGTCCTTCCTGTATGGTTTCTGCTTCAGTTCTTGCCCTGACTGCCTTCAGGGATGAGTGTGACCTGGAAGTATTAGGTGAAATAACCCCCTCCCTCCCCTACCCGGCTTTGAGTCAGACTGTTTTATCATAGCAACAGAAGAGCAAAGGAGGACCCTTCCGAGCTACTTTGCATCGTTTGCTGTGGCCAAAAGGATAAGGTGAAAACAATAGCAGAGGCTTCACTTAAAGCGTGAACCCAGGGAAGTCTTTAAGGATAATTATTCAGAAATAACACGACAAGTCAATAAACGTGCGGCTTACAAGACGTTGATTTATACATGAATCTTTAATGACTGTGTCCCACTGCCCCTCTCTGCATACTCCCGAAAAGTACTCCAGAGAATAGAATCTAATTTTTAATGACAAATTTGAGTCACTACGTTATCAAAGATGAAGAGGTAACAGATTGTAGACTAGTGCAAAAAAGTAGGGGTTTTCTGCAAAGTGCTTCCTCGTTAAACATCAGACCTGAAGACTCCCATTTCCAGGAAGACAGTCTGCAGAGCTTCCATCCCCCCCCCCCCCCCCCCCCCCCCAGCCCTGAGAGTACTGAAGGACATTTTTATCACAGCAGGTGGTCAGGGTGCCTGGGAAAGGAACCACCTCCGCTTTTCTCCCAGCACCGCACAGGGTGAAAACCAAGCTGTCAGGAGCTGCCGCCCTGTCTCCTCACTGGCCACAAGAGGTCCTCACACACGGGAGCTGCCACCAGGTCTAGAAACTAGAGCTGGTTTTGCTCAAGTGAATCTTTCTTTCTGTTCCTGGCAGGGAGGGGGGAAGGGGCTCTCGGGACGGGGGGTAAGGTGGAGATTAAATGTTACTCCACAGCCATGGCAAACACAGGAAGAACGGGCTGAGGGCAGTCTGTCCCTCTTTATTTCAGAGTTGTACAGGGACTTCCAGCCCACACTCTGAGAGCCATGCCATTCCATCTGCCTACACATTGCCCCCGGTGCCCTGTTCCTGGCGGCCACAGCCTCTGCTAGGGACCGTGTTCTGCTGCCCATCAGCTCAGGATGAGCAGAGTGGGACCCAGAACTCAGGACCCACCTCTAGGAACTGCCCGTCACCCCCTGGAGAGACGTTCTCACCGCCTTAAAAAATGATCGCTACAGATAAACACTTTTTTTTTTTTCATAAATAAAAACTGAGGCGTATTTGTAATATATTAAAATTTTCACCAACAACGGTGTGTTAAAATAATTTTTCAAGTTCTGTCATTCAAGTTCAATAAAGGCACACATTTTTTTTTTCCTTTGAGGCCCGCAAAGAACACACCTACCAGCCCAAGGTCAGGAAAGCGGTTCTGCGGGGCTAACGTCCTTTGCCCCTCCTGTGCTCCCGGGAGTTAGAGGCTCGGCTAGACCACCAAAGGCTGCTTCTAGGCGGGCTTTCAGGTGGACTCCGCGGCGGACCGGGCTCGGGCAGCAAGCCGCGAGCTCGCTAGCTGCGCAGGCCGCGCCTCCGGCCTCAGGGCTTCTCGGGGCCCAGGCGGCCCTTCCTGTTGCCGGGCTCCGAGGCCCTCCGCACCAGCCTGGGCGGGGGCTTGGGCGGGCCGTCCTCGGCCGCGCTGTCCTCCCGGGGCCGGCCGCAGCGCCGGTCTCTGGCGAGCAGGGGCTGCCTGAGCACGCCGGGGGTCTGCGTGCCCCCGTCCCGGCTGCGCGGGCCCGGAGGCGTGGCGGGCTGCGCGCGCGCGGGCCCCGCGGCCACCTCGTTCTTCCACTCCACTTTGTAGGCCGGGGAGGCCTTCTTGGAGAACTGATCCGGCAGGAAGCGCCTGGCCCGGGGCTGCAGGGTGAGCTCGGTGGCTCCGGCGTCTGGGTCCGAGTCGCTGCTGTTGCCATCTGTCGCAGAGCAGAAGGGCGGTGTGGGCAAAGGGAGCAGAGCAGAGACAGCGCAAGCCACAGCGAGCCCCCCGTGAGCCCCACCCCTCCCAGGGGCGAGGTGTGGCAGGAAGGCTCACTAAACTCCCGCTGAACGGCCTTGAACATCTGTGCCACAAGAGCTCCTCCGTGCTAGTTTGGAAGCGCTTTCACCGCTAAGTACATTTCCCCACTGGCTCTGTCTCATCCCCTGCTTTTACCAGAGGTTGTAGGTCCAGCAGAGATTAGCAAGTAAGCACTGGGGCTGGAATTCAACCCGAGAAGCTCTGGCCCTGTCTTAGGCTGCCTCACCCAGGATCTCAAGAGAGCTCAGCTCCGCCTCTGACACTGGCAAACAAGCTAACAGATTTTCTGTTGCTTAAATTTTTCCCTTCACCTGGACTTTTGGATGCACTCTGTGCTTTATAAGCTCTCGGAAGGACCAAAGCACCAGTGTGTACTTCCTAAGCAACAGGAAGAAGGATGGTTGGACGTTGGACCCCGGTCTGGGGCCTGGGGTTCACGGGAAGAGGTGGCACCCACTTCTTGCCCACTTGCTGATATTACTAGAATGTTTCTCTAGACATGCAGTGGTAGCAAACACGAACGGCCACAGTCTTGTCTTCCATTTCCCTTGCTTTTGGTTTCTTACGCCTCTCTCCATTGCCACAAACAGCCTTTAAACTGTCCTCGTCTTGATGAATTCAATAATAAGCAGAGGTGGTTGCAAAGGGGTTTAAATTGTTGTTACACCCCATATTTTAGCAAAACGGAATCCTAACATAGTTCCTGGGTTTGCAGCAAAGAGCTCTAGTGTGTGCATGAGATTGCTATCAAGCAAGGAAGTAAAATCTATAATCCACTCCACAAAAAGAAATTAGAATTACGGTGTAGATGTATGTGTTTATACACCTTCAGACTTACACCTTCGTGTCTCGTAAGCTCACAGTAAAAGGATTTGCTTGTGCTATAATGAAAGGATCATTATGAAAAACAAGTGACTGGATTATTTTTGAGATGCACAGTGACCCATTAAACAAGGCCACGATACTAATAAAACGGAGCCTGTTGCTTCTTGAGGTTCCAAGTGACTGAGCTCATTCATCCTTAATGAAGAACACCAGAACAGGTTGGAAAACATTTCTTCTCCAGGAAGACCGATTACCTGCATTTGCCGTCCTCTTCTTCTGCAGCTTCTCCGGAAGCTTTGTGTTTTTAGGTAAGGATAAGTACCGGGCAGTCGAGGTGGAAGCCTGTAGGAAAGAGAAAACATCTTCAGATGACTGAATGCCGCCTTACAGTGTGTTAGATGCTAAATTTCATGACAGAACTAAACTTTTATTACACTTTGCGTTCTTCATCCCCAAGTTACTTTTCCAGATACCGTAAGCATTGCGCTTTAAAAACCAAACACCTTCCAAAAGAAAGAGAATGAACGTGGTCATTAGTGAGGGGTGAAAGCCACTGGTCCCTAAGGAACACTGGCATCCTCGCCCACAGAAGTTATTCAAAGGAAAGACTGGACCCTCTGGGGGAGGAGATACAGTAAAACGGGGCAATTTAAGTTTCATTTCTCTCAATACATCTTGAAATGGAAGAATAACCTCAAAGTCTGACAAAATCACGTCACTGCTATTTTGAACACTTATCTTTAGTTTCTAGAATGAATTAAGGGTCACTGCCGTACATCATGCCTAGGAAGGCTTTATCCTGCTCCCCCCTCTGATGATACAGTGCAGAATGGTACTGAAAATAAAAGCCTGCCGTGTTGTATCACTGAAGGGCCACGTCATTGCCAGTCTTTGTGTTGAGAAGCGCCTGCCTGGCTGGGCTGCAGGGCAGCCTGCGCTCTGAATGCTCACACCCAGCAGCACCCGGGCTTTACAGAGCCTCTTTACGGAGGCGAGATGTGCCTGGCATCAGCGGTCTGTACCCTGGCACCTGGTCGGGAAGGCTCAAAGGTAGCCACGGGCCACATGGCTGTCAGGAGCTTACACCGCTTGGAGGATTATACAGTGCTCCTCGTCTGCGCACGCGTGATGTTCTCACCACAGAATCATCCAATGACACATCTGAGAGTGCAGCCCAGCGGCCTGCGCCTGTCACTGTGTCTCCATCCATTCATCGAAACTGTCCAGCCATGCTGATGAAAACTGTGACTTAGCTATGTCCACTAACGTTCTTCTTTGACTTTTAAGACATAAATGTATGTTTACATGTCCATAACACATACACATGTGTTGTGTGTTTGTTTATTTTTATGTCACTGGTGTTCTGCCTGCATGTATGTCTGTGTGAGGGTGTCAAATGACCTAGAGCTGGGTTACAGGCCGTTGCGAGCTGGGATCTGGGCGCTGGGAACTGAACCCAGGTCCTCTGGAGGAAGCGCTGAGCCACCTCTCCAGCCTCAAAACATATTTATTCTCTTCAAAGCACTTACTGTACTTAAACACAACATAGTGTATATTTATTTCTGGAAATGTTCTTCTCCAGTGAATTCCACGTGTCTAAGACTGGGAAGAATGTAAGTTGAGTAGAGTGATGTAGGTTGGAAGGCCCCGACATAGGAGGCAGATCTGAGGGTCAGGAGTTCAAAGACATCCTTGCTCTGTAGTGAGTTCAAGACCAGCCTGGGTTACATAAGATTTTGAATAAATGAAACAAAAGCAAGGGAAACACTATAAAAGGAATGAACTATTATTTGCCTTCTTTCTTAAGGTATGTCTCACTATCTTGCCTAGACAGTTCTCCTACGTAAGCCCTTCAAAGTGCCCCTACCCACGGTGAGATGACCTTACTATTCAGTCCACCCCAGGAGAGCTGGGAAATGGCCCTCAGCAGTCATTCAACCAGCCCCAGGAGCCTGTGATCAGCAGAAGGCTCTGCCCTCCATCCTGTGATTCCGGAGGTGACAGTTACCCTGCGCTCCCGGTTGGTGCTGTTGTCCTTGCGGAGGCTCTCCCGAAGGCTGTGTCGCCTGCGGATGAGGATCTCCTTGGCTTGCCTCTCGCTTGTGTCCGCCGTCAGGTTGTGTCTGTTGTAGGACAAGGTCTGAAATGACAGTGCACGTGGGATGTTTTTACCTAACGATCAGTCAGTTCTCTCAACCTAAAGCTTTACTTGTCATTGGGCTTACATGAGGAAAGTCACCCTCTCCGTGGGACAAAACTGGAATTAAAATCCAGAGTCTCCAATAGCACTCATATTTTGAATGAATGAATTGTTTTGTAAGTCAGTGAGTAGGTTTTTCTTTTTTGAAAAGTGTGGGCTTTGTAAATGAGAAAAGCAATGGAATTCACACGAGACTTCTCTGCTTTGTCCAGCCGTGATTAACAGTGAAACAAACGTCATTTTGAAATACAGTCCTGACCGAGTCATGCTGACATGGGTGGCCCCCCATCTTCTGATAGATCTCAGGGCCGCCATGCTGAGGTGTCCTGTTGCCCCAGCAACTGTCACCTCTAAATGAGGGCTCTGCAGACTATGCAGCATGCTTGGTAATTAATTTCCTGATAGAATTGGCACAAAGATCTTGGAAATGACCCCTGTCCTGACATGTACTAGGTACCTCAGGCCAAGGAAAAGGTGACATGGTGTAGATCCTACATCTGTCTCAAGAAGTTTACTATCTAGTTTGGCATCGGAGTCTATCAAAACGAAAAAAGCAAAGGCTCAGTCAGCTGCACTGCATACAGTGTTATCGGATGTAGAATAGTGTGGAATGGTAAGGTGACCTTTGGCAGAGACTTACACACGGGATGCTGTGGGTCAGCTATCAGGAAGCAGGGGCTGGCTATAAGTACAGAGAGATAGTGCACCCTGCACAGGGCGAGGCCTGAGGACAGAATCTGTTGTTCCATGAGGGTGTGTAGTGGATGGATCAGATCATGCTGGATAACGTGGAGCTTGGCAATAGAGGACCCCAAATTATCCTGGAAGCAGCAACTGTGCTTTTGCTTCACTTCAGACAGGAGGCTGTTGTCCTTGATGGAGCTTTAGAGAAAGGGGTGGACCGAGACTGACATGGCTAATATGGGACAGTCTGCTGGAATGCCCGCTAAGTCTACAGCGAAGAAAGAGGGTGATCTCTGCAGCTGGCAGTGTCTGTCTCCTCACCTGTGAAGTGGAGACAACAGTGACCCCTGGCGCTGTGAGGGGCTCAAAGCAGGTGAGACAAGCAGCGGGCTGAATGACCCTGGGCAAAAGGCAGGAGTCTGGGATCACTGGCACACTAATAAAATAGGGTGCTGACAATGGAAATACAGTGAAAGAAGTAGCTCAGAAGGTACAAAGAAAGAGATTTTGGCACTTTGTGAAGAGTTGATAAATTTACAGTCTAAGCTATAGGATTTTTTGAGATTGTATTTGATTATCGTGTGTGTGTGTGTGTGTGTGTGTGTGTGTGTGTGTGTGTGTGTGTGAGGGTAGCTGCAGATGCCTGGGAAGCACTGGCTCCCTTTGGAGCTGGAGTCCCAGGTGATTGTGTGCCACTGTGCACCCTGAGACAGAGCTCAGGCCCTCTAGAAGAGCAGGAGGGCACCCCTCCCTCTCTTCTGAGACAGGGTTTTTCTGTGTAGCCTTGGATATCCTGGACTCACTTTGCAGACCAGGTTGGCCTTGAATTCACAGGGATCCTCCTGCTTCTGCCTCCCTAAGGGCTGGGATTGCAGGCATGAGCCCGCTGAGCTATGTCCTCAGCTTTAAAGCACTTTCATACGTAAAACCGACCGCTCCTTTCTTCCTATGTCTAATCAGCGCTGCAGAACCCCCAGCCTTCAGTGCTTCAGCTGAGGTGTGCAGGAGGACTTAGGGAGTCTCCAGGGTGGGTTGCCCATGTGGTGCTCACTAGGACCTCTCTCTACGGAGGAATGTGTTCATGGTTTCCAGCTGGAGAGCACATTTTCAGCCAAAAGAAAAAGTATTTTGATGCATAATTTTTTCCTACCCGCTGACGGATTTGATAGAGATTCCTTGATAATATCTCTCTAATTTCATCCATTTCACCTGGTGTAAGCTTCCTTATTTTTTCTTCACGGCAATCACTGTAAAAGTCCAAAAGAAAATGTATTTTACTTTGTGAAATATTTCAGAATTGCTAATTCCCTCTTTAGTGCTGTCACATCATAGCTTCAGAGTAAGACTTTAGTTTAAAAAAGAGCAATTAGGAATTTCTCAGTATTTTCAAACATTCTAAACATTTTTAAAATATTCAGTTTTAGAATAATTAAGTTTCTAAGACTTGTTTCAGTGATAAAACCATTCCTGGCAAGTTTAACTGTGCGTGAAGTTCCAGAGTCAACTATCACATCGTGTCCCACCCCCACCACAGTGTCCTGTGTGTAGCCCAGGCTGGCCCCGATCTCAACCCTCCTGAGACCTCGGCCCCACGGCACAGTCACTGTGGTATGTCACCACAGCCAGCTGCTCATGTGATTAGTTTTAAAAAACGACTCACGGTGTTGCCTATTCATCATTCCTAGAAGAAAGCAATGCAAAACTGCCTCATTCCAACAGAAATGTAATTAGCTTTATTTCATGGAGCCTCATCACAAGGGAATCTGTACTGAGTCCCTGTGGAGTGATGCAGGCCTCTGCAATCTTTAATACTCCCAAACTGTTTCCAGTGTCCAGCCAGGGCTGGGTATCACTGCATCCAGGGTATGTGTTCCCCAAGCCTAGCTACACTGCTGCGCAGTCAATAAGGAAGAAGCTACATTCTGTGCACCGTCATCTAGAAAATGTAACACATCTGGAAAACATTCCACTTGATAAAGCTGAGAGAGTTTTAGCTCACTTTCAACCAGTCATGAACCTTCCCAAGCTGACAAAGGCACAGAGACCCTAAACATGACATGCCATTCCCAATACAACAGAACATACAGCATAAAACATGGGAAAACATGGGATAGGCGCTAGACACACAGAGCTGACTTTAGCTGGAGCCTCACTCTGTTGTGAGTTCTTAAGCCACCACCCTAGGACTTACGTCAACAATCCTGTTATTCTGATACTATTATTGCTACCCTGCTTTGCGAAGCTCTTGACACTCACTTGAGAGAAGCGAACGAGGGGACAGTGCTGATCATCCCAGTCTCTGCCATCTCAATGGCGTGCTTTATCTCCAGCTTCTTATATAAGGACACGATGCTGGACTTGGGCTGATTTTCCCGAATCAGAAGCTTCCGAAGGTACTTGTCATCAAACTTCTTAAACCTATAAATAAGTCGTCAGAGTTTAAATTAGTGAATGCTTCGTTGGATAAGAAAATGCTTGTAGGGAAACACTTAGAATACTGAGCCAGCCTCACCACGCGTATACTTCACATATGCTTGTGTGTGTGTACGCACCTACCTGTGATGTGACTAACAAGCTTCCAGACTCGCAGTGTTCCAACTGACCCGACCTCCCTAGCCTCTCCCGACCTCCACCAGGTCAAGCTCTCTGGTACCCTGTGTAATCTTTCTCTTCTATGTTCCATGTTATAGGATAAGGAGGCCCAGCCCAAGTTCCTATATTGAATTCCTAATTTCCAGCGCATCACACTGAGAGCGTTTCTGGAGATATGGTTTTCACAAACAAGATGAAGTTGAGATGCAGTCATCAGGGTGGGCTGTCCTCAGTGTGACTGGCACGCTGGTTAGACACAAAGAGAGACAAAGAGAGACAAAGACACAAAGAAAAACACTTGTGAAGCTTCGGGGAGCGCAGCCCCAGCAAGCCCATGGGCAACCCTGCCTTCCTCAGCTCCCTCAAGCTGAATAGCTCGTTAACATCCTGTGTTTGGCTCTCTGTTCCTCATGAAAGTGAGACAACCCATTTCTGCCGTTTAAACTGCCTACTGTGTGCAATCTGCTATGGCATTCCCAACCAACTAACATTCCTTCCTACTCCATCGGCGATCACTTGACGCTCCACACAGTGAAAATGTATGCCAAAGTGCGGTCCCCTTTGACACCTCTGGAGCCATCGTTGGGTCCCAGTTTTGTCTGGACTCTAATACAGATTTGGGCACCTACTAAGCGTCCCCACCCCTATAGCGATTCTCAGCACAGGAGCTAGAGTCTCTGGTGGAAATGCCGTGTGGGTAATAGCATGGCACCACACTCTTGCAGTGGGGTACGGGTGAGGCTGTCAGTGCAGTGCCGCCCGTGTGGGGTCCCTCTGACCTCTGACCCTGGCCACCTGTCCTCCGAGGGTCTTTAAAGTCATTGTCCCACCTACTAGGACTGCTTCCATACGTGACCTTCATGTCCCTCTGCAACCGTCGGTGGTGATTATGTCAGGAGAACCTCTGCAAGCCAGACCCCGGCTTGCCATGCTCCCAAGTGCGACTCTGTCCATTCTGTGCCAGCTGCATGCTTCTTCCAACTCCACCCCATCTCTCACTGCTCACGTGTGTTTTTCTACACAGCAGCTGTCATTTTGTAGTGTGGCAAGTAGTTTTCTTTTTCATCTTATAGCCCCTGTGTAGTAGAGGCCTATCACTTGGCTCCAGTGCCTTTCTGGATCTGCATTGGCCCAAACCCAGCAACAGCTTTCTGTCATAGCCTTGAAGACCTTCTTTTGCCTCTTCCCCAGATTCTGGGGTCAGTAATGTTACTTGTCTTGGTGAATGGCCTCCTCCTGACATAATGACTAAAGAGGCTTAAAATGACCTAATGAGCAAAGAGGCCTGCCAGCGAATCCCAGATGCTGTGTCCACACGATCATTAGCCACACACCATCCTACCTACGAAGAGCTGTGAGCCAAGGCGGACAGCTTGTCAGTGAAGTCATCATCATGACCCCCAGCTCAGGAGATGAGCTCCAGCAGGATCAGCTGACTGCCTTCCAGCCTGCGGCAGCAAGGACAAGCCCAGCACAGTCCGGCCCGCGTGGGACTTCTAGACTCACACAGTTTAATAATGAATGGCCTCTATCTTGATCAGCCGGCTCTGTGGATGACTCGCTATGCAACACCACATGCCAGCGTAGAAGCAGAGCAACACGCAGTAAATATTTGTTGAGAAGTAAGTATAAAACGTGGACCCAGAGAGCTTACTGGTACACCTGGGCCTGGAGTGAAATGGGGCCAGGCCACGCTCTTGGCGCTAGCCCTTTGTTTTAAATGCTGGAGGGCTCTGCACAATTAAAGAGCCACCCTGAACGCACTGAGGCAGTGACCCACCACCGAACGAAGGCGGCCTCCTCTTTCCGATGTTTGTTTGAATTTTGTGCTAGGCTCGCTGAGCCAGGATTCTCAACAGTGGGGCAAAGTCTCCAGCGCTTCTCATATGACTGTTATTGTTTCAGATCTCTTACTTCGGATACACAGAAGGGAGAGTGAGCGAGGACGGGAGTGGCCGTGTTCCCTCCTGCGTGGGCGTGCTTGTTTTCTTATTGCTTTGTTTCCCTCCCGCCCCTCTGGCAAGCTCCGCATAGGTGTTCCCTTTCACACCGTTCGGCTCCTGGTTGCTCCCCTCAAGCTGGGTCTCCCCCGAGTCTCAACTCGAGTCCCTCAAGAATTCTCTCCCAGGCTGATGGGGTGTGTAAAGCCAGTGCTTTGGACTAAAGGGAAAGATGTCCAATTGCAACTTCCTTCTGCGCATTCTTTATGGCAGTGTCAGTGGTTTCGCACACACTAAGGAAGGTGTGTGCAGAAGCGATAAGAGACTAGTATGTGCCAGCACCCAGTCTCGAGTACCCACTCTTCCGGTGATTGTGCAGCAGCATGACGGTCAAGAGCAGGCTATGTGGTAACTGAACACAGAAATGTGAAATGCCTGTGGACTAGTTAGACTGCAGCTCTGTGGTGCGGATTGAAATTCCACGGAAAAGCAATGCTTGCTTCCAGACACAAGCCAGATGTGCAAGCTCTCCTCTTGCTCACAGTCTGCCTCTGGCTTCCGGGGCGGCCTTTCCGCAAGTCATTCAGGGACCTTGGAGACATGAGCCACCTGACGCGGCGCATGGACACCCTCTGATCTTCGCCTGAGATCCACTTCAGACTCACACAATCACAATCCCACCCCTTTTGTGCTGGTTGGGGTTTCGGTTTGTGCTTTGTTCTGTCTGACACAGAAAGGAAGCAGAGCTATGTAGACAGAAGGAGCCTCAGCTGAGACAGCCTTCCTAAGACGGGCGTTCTCTTGATTAATGACTGATGTAGGAGGGCACAGTCAGCTGAGGGCCACGCCATCCAGGGCATGTGGAGCTGGGTGGTATAGACAGCAGGCTGAGCTGGCCGTGAAAGGCAGGCCAGGCAGCCGTGGTCCTCTCCTGCCCTGGGAGTGCACAACAAGCTATAGGATGAAGTATTCCCCTTTCTCCACAAGTTTCCTTGGGTCCTGGACTTTGTGAGAACAACACAAAGCAAACAGGACAGCACCTCTTGTTCCTAACAGTGCCCAGGGGCTACTGACCTAGTGTGTGCCTGCATGGGTCTGTATTTGCTGTACTTGGATGCACAAGGGAAGAATGTGAAACACGATCTTCACTCTTGAAAGGAAACACGCTAGTCTGCGTTGTGCCTCCCACTCATTGTTGAGAGACCTGGTAGGCTACAGAAAGGAAAAGGTGACCGAGCTCAAAGGGAGACGATAGAACTACAGGGAAAGAGAAAAAGAAAATCTGCTTTACTGGTTTGGCATAGAAGGACTCATCTATGTCAGAAAATTACTAGACTGTGCAGCAGGGTAGGCGAGAGACAAGGCAGGCACAGTAGGCGGCTTTAATCCCACCTCCAGAAAAAAGAAAAATGAATGCTTCCCAAGAGAAACGATAATTTGTCCAGAGTCTCACAGTGCAGGTTTAGTCTGCTTTATTACCTGTGCGCCCAGGCGGTTAACTGGATAATCAGCCTGTACAAAAACATCTTTCCTTGACTTATGAAACAAGGCTCAGCTCAAGAGACAATCGCTCCCTCCATCCCCAACAGTGCTTTAAGGGGTAATTGCTCTCGTTCTAGTGTCTTTGTGACTCACTGCATTCCTTAAGGATCTCTCTCTCATCTCCAGTTCTGCTCTCTCTCTCTCACACACACATACACATACACACACACCTGTTCACTAGTTAGCTATTTTGTTGTTTTTATTATATAATTTGAGGCCCAAGTCTGTGACATGTACTTTGTTCGCTTATTTTGTTTTTTCAAGACAGGGTTTCTCTGTGTAGCCCTGAATGACCTGGACTCACTTTGTAGACCAGACTGGCCTCGAACTCACAGAGACCCACCTGCCTCTGCCTCCCCAGTGCTGGGATTAAAGGTGTGCACCACCATGCCTGGGTGAAATATACAACTTATATAGCCTGATTCCATACTACATGTGTGAGCAAACAGAAGCATTCAAAATTCTTCACTTTAAGTACATAGACGAGCAGGCAGCTAAGTTTCTATTAATGACTGAGTAGTGGAGTGAAGCTTTTGCGAGTGAGTTAGAAAGAAAAAGCAAGAGGGAACAGCTCACTACAGCCTGGAATGCGTCCTCTGACCTCACGTTACAGCTAAACTCTGCTTTGTTCTGTAGTCTGTCCTAGCCAGGGATCTGTGCACCAATGCTCACAGATCAATCTATAATAAAAGGGGCCTGTTGGCAGCGTCAGCCACTTCCCAACATATGTCCCGAGGGCAGGACAGCCGCCACGAGCTCCCGTTAGCTGGTGAGGGGTAGTCCTGGGCTCCATGTTTCACATGTAACCGCCAGAATCCCTCCCTTCTTGCTGTCATCACCGATCCAGTCAGTTGTTCCGCCTCATTACAACCACCTCGGGGATAGGCGTCTGCCCAGCACAGGGCCTCCTTTAAGAAGTAAGCTCGTGCCGGGCTGTGCTAGCAGTCAATCGCAGCACTTAGGAGGCAGAGACAGGTGCAGTGAGGAAATGGTCCCCGCTGTGGGGTCTACATGGAAAAGCTGCTTGACTGCTTCTGGGGACCTTGGCTGGGGGTTGGAGAATGTCTTGTCTTTTAGTGGTGTTTCTTCCATCTTGCAGCCACTGAAGAAGTGACTTTGCCTCAAGGGCGGCAAGGAGGCTAGTTAGTGGCCTCACTTATACGAACTCTATCTGTGCTGAAGATAAGATGTTGCTGTTTTTGTAATTGGCATACTCATTAAGTAGCTTAGGTTGCCCTTGAACTCACGTAAATGCCTCTTGCCTTATCGTCTGGTCCTCTGGGCCCACGGCATGTATCCCCATGCCTGTCTAGAGCTAAGAATCACCTTGGGAGAACACACAGTGGCACAACGTAGGACTTCCAGCCTGGAAGACGCACAACTCGGTACATTTTTTTCCCAAGAGTGGCCCAGAGCCACGCTGCTAGAACGTTGTGAGGGTGCTTACTTGTCTCTCCAGAAGTTGTGACCCCAGTGTCCACAGACATCTTCAATCCCAGTCTTCACGTGATCGAAAAACTGAAGCAGAAGGGAAGACAGACAGATGATGCGCTTTTCTCACAAGGGGTCATTTTCGCTCTGCTCACATGACACCTACCGCCAAATGGCTGGTAGGAACGTTTTCAGGTTAAAGGCTTTATGTTCCCTCTGCTGGTTCAAGACTTCAGCAGGCTGTGACTGGGTACCACGAGGCTAGGGCAAGTCTGCCTCCCATCACAGACTCTCCCAGCTCCTCTCCCCCAGCCCTCTGCTCTTTCCTTCCCTCCCCAGGAGTGCACAGCAGCACAGCGCTTCTCTCCTGACACCAACAGCCAGCACCCACCCTGCAGTGGATCTCCTCGCTGACAGCTTGCTGCTTCTTGTTGGATCTCTTGACGTCAAGAAACTCCACCAGCGGTCGGATGGTTGTCCCCTGCACAAAAACGCAAACATGATTCAGTGAGTCCTCTCATACGGAAAACGTTCAGCTGTAGCTTATCGCCTCCTAAGCAGCCACCAGCGAAATCTGGACTGTTGCTAAGAGTTAAATAGCAAACGTAAAGTTTTGTTATTCTTATCTTTCTTTTCCATGGATGTCTTATTTTCAGAAGACCACTTCAACATAAACTAGATGCCAAAGTGGAATAAGCCCAAAGGTAACTGAAGGAAACAGTGACAGTGACGGTCAGCGGAACTGGCCGCTTGCTATTTTGCTCACAGAAAAACCGTCCTGTGATTCTTCCATTTGCTCACATTCTGGGAACAATTTTCACCACACTGCTTCTGCAAGTCTGCCATGGGGCCTGGGCATCAGATCACAAAGATGGACCTCAGAGGACCAGGGCTGTAGGACTTTGGGTCTAAAGGAAGGTCATCTTTATCCCAACACATTTACAAAGGAGGCAGAAGAGGAGGGACAGACAGACACAGGGGAAGAGCCAAGGCAGCTTCAAGCTGAGGAAGCACTCAGCAGGAATCCTGACCGGTCTCGGCATCATCACCTGGCAGAGACCTCAGGACAGCCAGTGAGCAGCAGTGGGAAACAGTGCAGGGGCACTCTAGGCCACTCAGGACTTCACCTGGGAAATGAGGAGATGAAGGAAACTTCATACTCTGAACAAAGATCTCTGCAAAACGCCACCATCAACATCTCACTAGTGAAACATCAAAGCATCTCCGTTAGCGGCACGGAGGGGAGGCCAGAGGTGCTGGTGTCAGCCATAGCTTTGCAAGCTGTACACCAACAAGAGCCAATAGGGAAAAGTCAAGGAAAGATGACAACAAGAATTTGTTGTTAAAGGATAGTTTGCATCTTTGTTCTAAAACTTAAGACAGTCCCTTCCATATCAAAATAGCAAAAAGTGAGTAGCATAAAATCAACACACACAATCCAGCCCAAATGTTATTTTAAAGAGTGTAAACAATAATCATACTGCAGCAATGTTTATTTTATTACACATTACATCCTATTATGGCTACAGGCTGTGTTTGTGTAGCTAGTATACACTACCACATAATATAACATGTATACTCAGAGAAACTATGTACATATTAAACTCACACAATAGATACATTATGTGCAAATATTTATGTATATGCAACCTTATGACAATTGCATGCAACCCTCATGTAGAGAATTGTGAAACTTAACTGAAGGATCTTAGAAATATTTGTAATTTAAAACTACAATTAAAATTCTAAATAGGATGACTAGATTACAATGGCATTTTTTTTCTCTTCACTAATACCTACACACCACATACTATAATAATGTCTTGCTCAGGGTGAGAAGCAGAACTTTAGCAATCTTTAATTAACCTAAAAGACTAAAGGCAACCAGAATATTTTTCAAAAATAAATAAATAAGTAAATGGAAATTTGCAGACATGCTGCAATCTGCCAGCTGTGACGTGCACAGCTGTGATACTGTTCCACAGGAGTCCGGAGAGCTGGCGTCGGGACCAGGCTCTCCTGTGGGGCAGGTAGCATGAAAGGCGGTGGGGGCTGGTTGACGTTTTCCTGATGAAGGAGGGATAATGTTGAAGGATATTGTCTGCCATTTGATTTCCATCTCACCTTTCCATGTGTATCTAGATATTTTTTTCAAAAAACACAGTGATGAGCTGAAACGAGCCTAGGCTCACTGCACAGCCCGGGTTGACACAGTGATGAGCTGAATCGAGCCAGGTTTACTGCACAGCCCAGTTTGGCCTTGGACTGTGTCAGCCCTTTTGCCTCGGCCTCTCAATTGTTCAGACTGCAGTGTGAGCCACCACTCCTAGCCTTTTAGTCTGTAAGAATGGTTTTGATACAGAATACATCTACACACGCACACACGCACATACATACACACAGTAACACACACACGTATTTACATATACACATACATAACACACATACATACACCCCTCCCGCATATACATACACATATATATACACCACAGACACATACACAGACACACATATACACATACATACACACACACACCACACACATATACACATACAGGACCATAGACACATATGTGCACCACACACCACAAGCTCACACACGCCTCTTCAAAGGAGATAATCAGTTTTGTTCTATCAATCCAGGACGAACATGTTTCTAACATAAGTTGCATTTTTTACTTTCTTAAGTGAAAACTGATTTTATGCAACTTTAGTATGAGACATCTTACATATTATTTGTATTTCAGTCAAATACAAAAAAACAGTGGTGTGCCACTTGGACATACCACAGGAGCTAACAGTTTTCCAGTCAACACGTTCTGAAATGTTTTGACATAAACAACGACAACACCAAAAATGATTATGTAATTGTGATTTTCAGAGATGGTGATTCCATTGAGTGCCTTGTCCCATAGATCGGCAAGCAGAATGCTAGCAGCTCAAGAGAAAAAGAAGAAAATAGTGTAATTCTTTATTGTCGTGGGGTTTTTTCTTTGTTTTTGTCTGTCCTGGACTCACTATGTAGACCAGGCTGTCCTGGCACTCACAGAGATCCGCCTGCCTCTGCCTGCCTGAGTGCTGGGATTAAAGGCGTGTGCCAACAAACCTGGCTTCAGTATAATTTTTAACACTGAAAGCCTCTACCATATTCTGAAGACACTAACGGCTATTACACATGTTCCTTCTCCTTTCAACGCTTACTCATAATAAAGGGGCATCCTGTGCTCAGAGTGTATGAGAGTAAGGGCAGAGGTCGGCCTGCCAGAGCCTGGTGCTGGTTATCCTACCAGGCAGACAGGCATTCAGGGAGCAAACTGAGGAAATCACACCCACCAACTCTAAGAAACGGGTGCCCCAGATCAACTCAAATTTGTAGAAGTATAACATACGGAAGTCCACAATTAATAAAACTTAAAGATTGAGTGCCTAGTTAAAATCACATTTCTTGATATGTGTTCATCTGTGTTCACATATGAACACAAATGTTCACATATGAACACAAGTGTTCACATATGTGTTTTCAGTTGTCCTATCACGCTGATTAGAAATCATCTTTAGATACTGCTTGGATCCTCTCTTTCCCTCTCCTCTTCCTTTCTTGGTCATCTGTTTTGGAGTGGGGCATGTGACGAGTGTATGCCTTGTGTCAGGGTATTTTATTACCTGGGCCAATGCCTGTGGTTTGGAAGGACAGAGAGACGATGCACCTTATGGAACACCCACTTCACCCCTTTGGAAAATTTCTAATTTTGTTACTTAGGAAGCAATTTGATAGGACCTCTAAGAAAAAGATAGCATGTTACTATCTGTGGAGGAAAAAAATAAAAATAAAATCCTGAGTTTTGCAACAAAATGCCAAAAACTCTTTACAAAGTGCAAATAAATTCTCACCTGTCAGCCAAGCTTGGCCAGACAAACACGGCACCATAGCTTGAGGGCTGACTCAGAGTCATCTGGCAGCATGGGCATGGAGAATTACCAGGCAGTGACATTCTCACCCAGCTCTCTCTCTGTCTGCTTTGCCCCACCTCTGTGTCCACCAAGAAAGAGAAGAAGAGAAAAGCCTAACCTACTGTCTGGTTAAAATAAGCATCGTTTGGTCCATTCACAGGGAAGAAGGAGTTCTTACTTGTGGAATTAATGCTGACAAAGAGGGGGGAAGGAGGCTTCTCATATTTCCTTGCTGATTCAGCAAGCATTTCCCTAGAAAGCTTGTGGGAAACTTTCATTTATTAAAAACTCTATTATTTTCATTTATTAAAAATGTTACCATTTTCATTGTGTAGTCGGGGTGATGGCTCAGTGGGTAAGAGGCCTTGCCACGCTAGCATAAAGACCCAAGTTCAGATCCCTGGAGTAACCATGGGGCTCTGCACTGAGGTGCTGAGACAGGGGGATTACTGCACTTGCTGGCCGCAAGCTTACACGAAAACAAGGTGATCCAGGTTCAGTAAGAGAGCCTGCCTCAAGTTCAAGAGAATAAGGCAGCACTCTGTAAGCACACCTAAAAAAGCATGCACATACACACACTCATGTATGAGCATGTACATAAAACACACACACACACACACACCTGTCACTGCGATAGCCATGCTATCTTATATTTGGCCATTCTCGCATTAAAACCTTGACAACAGGCATCTGGGGTTGGGATGAACACAATGGGAATGACGAAGGTGTTGCTGGCCCTCGACTGGCCCTGGCTTCCAGTGCTTACCACCTGCACAGAGTCACGTCACTCTGTTAGACATCTGTCTTCCAATGAACAGTGCCCTTCTCCATCCCGGCGGCAGCAAACGCCCGTGCTGCACTTTATACAATCAAAGGTGCTGCTGAAACGCTCATCTTAGAAGAGCTGGGACAAGAGCCACCTCCGTCAAGTGTCCCTTGCCTGTCACCCTTTCTCTTGGTCTCCGGCGTCTCTCTTTCGGGTGTGGTTAGTCAAGGGGTCACCCTCACCGCAGAACTTCTGTGAGGAAGGCCACTCCTCACTGACCCTGTTGCTGCTCTTTTCTAAGTTTACAGAATCCTCTCCTTGAGCACACTTCCCTTGGCTTCTGCCTCTCCCCTCCACCTTTCTGTCACCACCAACCACCATGTTCCCTCTTCCAGTACTGTCTAGCTTCCTCAACATTTATCAATCTTCCAATGATGCTTGTGTCTGGGCTCAGCCCTCAGGCCACCCCCATACTTCTTCCCTCATCTGTGAGTAATTTCTTCCCATCTCTTTATTTAAACAGTGTCTACTTCAGATAACTCCACAGCTGGGCCCTCCCATCCAACTGACCTCCATCATGAGATCCTGATCATCAACTCCTGCAGAGTTATAGAGGATTTATGTCCCACTCTACAGACCCAATGATCCCCTATTGTTCATTTCATCACTAAACTAACTGACTGCTCAGTCAAAAATACTGGGAAATTACAAATAAAGCTGCGCCGAACGTAGTTGAACAAATGTCCTTGTTGTTTGGTGGAGCA